TCAGTTGCAACAATTAAAAGAAACTCAACTCGTGGAGCTCTTGTGTATGTATGTTTATCACTGTGTCAGACATTTCTTCCCCACTCAATAAGATTACCCCACATCATCATACCCATATATAACTTTAACAGATTCTCTTGCTTCGAGGCACTTCAACAGACTTCCAAGCAGTTTAATTGCTAGTGGTGCCAGCTGCTCCTGCTTTGATTGCTTCTCTTCTTCGATTATAGACAAAGACTGTCAGCATGTGCATTCTGCTAACCATGCCCTTTTGTCACTGCCAATCTCACACTTTATTCTTCTGGTTCTTGGTATTTTAGGAAGACAATTTGCATTTAAACAGTGATTGAAATGGTAAAGTAATTGTAGATGACAGCGACTTCACTTCTTTGGATGAATGATGATGATGTTGAGATCATCATTTAAATGAGTTAATGGGATCAAATGGGGGATTAATCTGCAACAAACAAGTGCCCTTCCTGGGGGAATCCAGAATAAGACCCAGCCCTCTAGGTCACTTAGGTTTGTAAAATACTTTAACCTTGTTAAAAGTGAGGTAGGGACAGTATCATAAGCCTCAACAGCAGAGGCTTCTTACCAAGAGAGGCTGAGAGTAAAGTTCCAGTTGTGCCCTGTAGATGATGTCATCCAACGCCTCTCTCCCCAGATCCCATTCTCCATTGTAACTGAAATAAGAAAAGGTGTAACCTCGGTCAGTGTAATCTACAGTGCTAACCTGCTGCCTGAATAGTGAGTAAAACCAAAGGTAAGATGCTACCAACACAGGAGGAAGAATGTAATATCTGTTTGATGGCATCAGATCTACTTTTTTGTGGCTCTGAGAAATGAGATGGAACAGAAGGCACTTGAGAACAGCACTCACATCACAGCTAATGGAGAATAAATCCCACATTGGAGAGACAACACTGCAAAACACTAAATAGTGCTTCACATTCTATGTGACATATTTAATTCTCAATAGAACATAATTAAATTACATGTTTTAGCTTAACAAAGTTGAGCAAAGCAAAAGTTAAAATGGAGTGTTGACCATTAAAGGTTGCTGCTAAGTTACTTCTTCCTTGATAAATTATTTTAACCTGAAGATCAATCTACTGGAATTTAAAAACTGTTGTCAGACAGCAATGTTTTTGAACCTATAAAAGAAAATACAATAAATGAAAATACAAAAAGATAATGTTAGAAGCTAGGTTATTGATGAGCCTACACTTTA